CCTTGGGCATCCCCCCCCCTTGGGTAAACCTGCAATATAGGAGAGAGGCCCCCCCACTCCCTTCCCTCCTCCCCCGTTTATCATCCCCTCTTGTACATTTCACTGGTGCATCCCAACACTTCGCGCCAATGGCCTGCTCTTCAAATAAGCAGATGAGATCGATGAGTTGCTGTCGTTTCATTTTCAAGCACCAAGGCAGGATGCATCCGATGGCTTCTTTTAAAGGTGAAGCTTGGCTAATGTGGGTTCAAATCATGAGATTATATCGATTTCTGACAAGGAAAAAACGGTTACCGTTCTCGGTGCCGCTTCTCGAGTTATATTTTTTTAAGACGGTGTGTGGGGTTTTTTTTCAATCTGGCGCGTCATTCCCAGAGCTAAAAACGCTTGCGATAACCAGAGCCAGTTTGGTGTGGTGGTTAAGTGCGCGGACTCTAATCTGGGAGAACCGGGTTTGATTCCCCACTCCTCTACTTGCACCTGCTGATGTGACCTTGGGTCAGTCACAGGCTCTGGCACAGCTGTCCTTGAAAAAGAGCAGTTTGTGTCACAGTTCTCTCAGCCCCACCCACCTCACAGGGTGCCTGTTGTGGGGAGGGGAAGGGAAAGGAGTTTGTAAGCCGCTCTGAGACTCCAAGTGAAGCGCGGGGTATAAATCCAATCTCTTCTTCTTTTTCTTCTTGCGGACGTGAGGGTGGCAATTAGAATCGATTCGTGCTTTATATTTTGAACTCGGTTACGAAGAAAACCTGCACCTTCATGGTAGACAGTTGGAATGGTGAAGGGGAGGGTGCACGTGTTTAAATGCCCACGTTTCCTTCTCTGGGCACAGAAGCAAGCGCTCAGGAAAGGCTCGGGCCCTCACTCGGCAAGTGCTTTGCTTTTACTATTTATTTATTTATTTTATGTACATTACTTACAGCCCGTCCTCTTTCGTAGGGACTCAGGGTGGATTGCACATAGTGAGTCAGTACGGTCGACGAAATGGGACCTACAATAACCAATGCACTAGGATTTTAGAAGTCTGGAGCCGCTAGAAAGAACTGGAGGAGGGCAAAAGTCTGCACATGACACATGAAGCGGTACAGAAATTACATCAATGGGATCCCATTTATAATAAGCTAAACGCAGCAGTATAGAATCATAGAATCAAAGAGTGGGAAGGGACCTCCAGGGTCATCTAGTCCAACCCCCTGCACAATGCAGGAAATTCACAAATGCCTCCCCCCTACACACACACCCAGTGACCACACCCAGGATGCCCAGCCAAACTGGCCTGGAGAAAAATGGCTTCCTGGCCCCAAAGTGGTGATCAGCATTTCCCTGGGTGTGTAAGAAAGGGCCACAAGAACTAAGCCCTGATGCAACCAATGCTCCCTCTAAGCTGTGGAGTCTTGTGAGCAAAAATTCTACTTTGTGAGCTCCTGGCATTAAAGTTGTGAGCGAGTGATTTGGCTACTGCGTAAAATGAGTTTGCTCTGGAGCCCTCCTTCCTGAGCGAAGACAAAAATCTGCGCGCTGGAGGCTAAAAAACTGCGAGCTAGCTCACATTAACTCAGCTTAGAGGGAACACTGGAGGCAACCCGTCCTGCCCTCCCTCTCGTGATCTGCCCGAGTTCACAGAATCCGCATTGCTGTCAGATGGCCATCGAGCCTCTGTTTGAAAACCTCCCAAGAAGGAGAGCCCACCACTTCCCGAGGAATCCTGTTCCACTCAGGAACAGCAGCATAGACCAGAGTCGCTAACTGTGCAGCCCTATTCCCTGTGCAGAAAAGCCCGCTCGGATAGTTCAGTTTTGCATCGTTTGCAGAAAGCCGGGAGTGCGGGAGAGAAACTCTGCCGTCTTCACCATTTACAAACAGACAACCCACGGCAAGAGCTTTGCTGCTGAAACTCGGGGCATTTTTTTTTAATATATATATATATTTATTTTTTAAATTGTTTTACACAAATTTTACATATTATCTTTTAACCATGCATTTTCATAATAGTTTTTTCCTTCCCCCCTCCCCCCTATGCTATCCCGGTGCTTTAGTCCTATATTCCCAGCCACGGGCACAAAGTCCGAATCTTGCTCTGAATGTCTTTTCTTCCTTCTGTCGGTATCCATTCCAGGTAGGTCTTCCACTTCATCGTGACCTCCGTAGTCTTGTCTTTCCATGTGGCCTTACGTTCCAGTTTTTCGATTATGTCGGACTGTATGAGATCAAACAAATAATTATGCCAGATTTCTACTGTCCATTTATTTTTGTTCTTCCAGCCTAGAGCTATTACTGCTTTGCCTGCTAGTATCATGGCTTTAAACAAAGCTTGGTTCTCTTTGCTTATTGCTGGATTACCTACTATACTTATTAGCATTAAATTAAAGTTAATGTGTAATGATACTTTACATGTCTGAAACTCGGGGCATTTATCATACTGGACGTCCAGAAGTAGCGCGTGAAAGATTTGCGAGTGTTCATGCTTCAGGCATTGGAGTTAACACAGGGGGGTTGAGGTGGTGAAGAACAGTGCCGGGAAGGATCCCATCACTTTTTGGCTTTCTTTCCAAGCCAGATGCACAAAATTGTGCAGGATCTGCTCTCCGGTCGGCTTTTGACACTTTGCGCTGTGTGTGTCTTACGAAGATAAAGTGACGTGTCTCTTTAAAGCAGTGACACAAGAAAACAATTATAATAGTCAGTCAGTGAACCAGAATGCCTAAAGACGTTTTAGCAAAGCGAGGGAAGGTCCAAAGGCAGAGACGTTTGCTACGTTTAATGAACCTCCAAAGAATTTTAAGCTGGAATCCTCTCGTTTCCCCAGTTACTGAGTTTGTGTCATCACACAGATTGCGGCTGGGCTCATTTGAGGGAGCGTAGGAACCACACTTTCGACTTCTGAATCATCAAGCTATTTTTGTGCATCTTTTACGTGAATATTGCAGTTTTTTTTAAAAAAAAAAATAACTACACAAATATTGCATTGTTTTAAAAAAACCCCAGTGGATTTAAGAAATGTACATTATCCATGTCCCTGGCCGGAGAACAAGAAAACAAGTGATGCTCTGTCTTCTTGGTGCTTGGGGGGGCCAAGAGTGGGAGGGCTTCTACTGCCCTGGCCCCACTGGTGGACCTCCTGGTGGCACCTGGTATTTTTGGCCACTGTGTGACACAGAGTGTTGGACTAGATGGGCCACTGGCCTGATCCAACATGGGCTTCTCTTATGTTCTTATAGATGGAACTCTCAGTCTGGGGCAAGGGATGCTCTGTCTTCTTGGTGCTTGGGGGGGGGGGCAACAGTGGGAGGGCTTCTAGTGTCCTGGCCCCACTGCTGGACCTCCTGATGGCACCTGATATTTTTGGCCACTGTGTGACAGATGTTGGACTGGATGGGCCTGATATTATATGGAGCAGAGGTCCATCAGTGGCTATTAGCCACAAGGTACTTGCTCCGTCTGGGGCAAGTGATGCTCTGTATTCTTGGTGCTTGGGGGGGGGTCAACAGTGGGAGGGTTTCTATTGTCCTAGCCGCAATGGGGGACCTCCTGATGGAACCTGATATTTTTGGCCACTGTGTGACAGACTGTTGGACTGGATGGGCCTGATATTATATGGAGCAGAGGTCCATCAGCAGCTATTAGCCACAAGGTAGAGATAGGAGCTCTCCGTCTGGGGCAAGTGATGCTCTGTCTTCTTGGTGCTTGGGGGGGGGGCAACAGTGGGAGGGTTTCTATTGTCCTAGCCGCAATGGGGGACCTCCTGATGGAACCTGATATTTTTGGCCACTGTGTGACAGACTGTTGGACTGGATGGGCCTGATATTATATGGAGCAGAGGTCCATCAGCAGCTATTAGCCACAAGGTAGAGATAGGAGCTCTCCGTCTGGGGCAAGTGATGCTCTGTCTTCTTGGTGCTTGGGGGGGGGGCAACAGTGGGAGGGTTTCTATTGTCCTAGCCGCAATGGGGGACCTCCTGATGGAACCTGATATTTTTGGCCACTGTGTGACAGACTGTTGGACTGGATGGGCCTTTGGCCTGATCCAACATTGGCGTCTCTTATGTTCTTATGTTAAAACACAGGCTGCCCTAAAACAGTAAAATTACTGGGATATCTCTCAAAAATCCTTGCAGGACGTAAATAAAATGCTGTGCCAACATGAAACCTTCCCTTTATTAACAATAAGCTCCTTTGACTGGAGGTCTTGAGCCATACGATAAAATCACAATTCAAATAGCAATAACAGTTAAAGAATAATTGAGAAAGGAAAAGTATGCAGCTAGTAAAATTGCAAGATTGTTCATGCTAATATGTAGCAGGGGAGTGTCTAATGTATTATAACATTAGAAAACAGCAAGTCCAGAGCGTTAGGAGCGTGGACTCTAATCTGGGAGAACCGGGTTTGATTCCCCACTCCTCCACATGCAGTTGCTGGGGTGACCTTGGGTCAGTCACAAGTTCTTTCAGAGCTGTTCTCTCAAGGGCAGTTCTCAAGAGAGCTCTCTCAGCCTCACCTAACTCAAAGGGTGTCTGTTGTGGGGAGGGGAAGGGAAAGGAGATTGTAAGCTGCTCTGAGACTCCTTCGGGTGGTGAAGAGCGGGGTATAAATCCAACCCCCTCCTCCTCCTCCTCTTCTTCATTTTCTTCTTCAAGACTAACAAAATTTGCTGCATGGTATGAGCTTTCGTGAGTCACTGCTCACTTCTTCAGATACAAAAACTCATACACAAAAACAGTGGCTCACGAAAGCTCCTACCCTGCCATAAATGATAAAACTCGAATGATAAAAGGGTTGGAACACTTTCCCTATGAGGAAAGGCTAAAGCGCTTAGGGCTCTTCAGCTTGGAGAAACGACGACTGACAAGTGACATGATCGAGGTTTATAAGATTATGCATGGGAAAGAGCAGGT